TAAAACATACATAGTCAATATAACTTGTAATAAATACTGCTAAGTTTTTGGATTGTCTCTTAACAGTTAATATTAATATTCGTGTGTGTGATTTCTTTGTTACATTTTCAAAAACTAAATGTGTACTTTAAAGTGTATAAGTTGACCGGGCAATTAATTTACATCTGTCAACCAGGTAGATGTTGTTCTAACAGAAAACAGATTTTCGGCGAAGATTAATTTTTGGGATGATTTGACCTAGATTATGAAATTAATATTGGCCAAAAAATTATCCAAATATTTGCGATTTTCAAAATAAATTTTTGCGAATAATAAAAATAAATTTTCTGTGTATCTGGCTAACTATCACCAATTGAATGTCTTTGCTTTTAATCCTTCAAAAATCAAGCTTAACGAATCTAGACATAACTGGAGTATTTTGTTCTAAATATTTATTAATAGATGTTTTGATGCACATATAATTTAATAAAAAAATCATGAATAATATTTTTAATTTCGGTAAATTAGATTAACTGATAATGTAACTTTGGACAAATTTTCAGATAATTTTCGTTTTATCAAAGTATACAATACAACAATATCAAAATTAAATTAAACACTTGAAACCTAGCAGTTAGATAAAATAATTACGGCAAATATAAATATGACACAATCAATTTTAATATTCTTATGATTTTATCACTTGTACAAATGTCAGATATCATATAAAATTACTACAATCCAAGATAATATATTTTTTTCATTGAGTATACTTACACACGAAGTAACATACGCTTCAGATAGAAAAACGAAAATTTGCGTAAGAATAATGAGTGACGAAATGAAAAAAAAACGAAATGCAAAAAAAGTAACAGAAAATTAAAATACTTACGAAGAACCGGTACGAAACCTACAAAAAAGCAAAGCACCAAATTGCACGATACCAACGACGAAAGAAAAGAACCGAAATTGACGACTACTGCCGTGGTGGTAAGTGATCACAAATGAATTGTTGACCTTCCCTATTCGAATTCATGTGCTTATCTTGCAACGGCAGTAATCTTTGGTCCTCATGTGCCCCTTCCTCGCACATAAGAGTCGTGACCAACCCATTTATACTTACAGTCACGTCCTTATTCGAATTCGTAAGTGTAGGTTGTAGTTTCTTATTTTTCTCCTTGATTCGCACGACCGTGACTAGCTAACTTAAAAAAAAAAAAAGAATATTTATATAGGGTGTTCGCGACTTTATAAGGGTGTTTCAGACTCTATAAGGGTGTTCAAACTCTATAAGGGTGTCCAACTCCATAATAGGCTCCTAAAAGGCAGAAGCTTTTGCTTAAGGAATATTTCATAACCATTTCCTCCTCTTTCGGAAACAGTAGACCTTAAAAAAAAATGCGAAAAAGCTTGAAGAAGAGATGAGAATCCTTCCAATTGATCATATTTATAATTTAATTTGACCTATCACACGATGAGCGATCAAAACAATCGCGTTATTAAAAAAATAAACAAATCACATGAAATTGCACCTGCGCGCTACGTACGTATCTATATCAGTATTTGGAGTAACAAAACATGTAATCTTGTACAGTTACCAACATTGTTTACGCGAATTACGCGACACAAATAGTAAATACACGTGTATAAAGAAATTTTATTAACACAACTAAAAATTTTAATGGTTATCATTTTAACAGATTTGATTGGTGGATCCTTTAACTTATTTCCGTGCTTCTAAAAAAAAACAGAGTCCAAATGTTCGAATTTAACTTAGTACAAATTTCAGTCCATCATAAGATGTTACGAAAGAAAATAGGCTTTTTGTCTTAACAAAAAAAACAAGATTAACATGAAAGAAAATTGGAACATTATGTATAAATTTAAACTTGAAGACCTATGTATACCATTTAACATTGGGGTGCGCGGTATACTATGTAAATCAAAACTATATGTGGTATCATATAAAAATCTATTATCAAATTTTGATGTACTGCCCTAACGGTTCGATAGTTTTGAATAAATTTTCGCAAAGACTAGTATTACATCTCTACAAACAAGGCTATAGAATCATTTTATTTATTTAAACATGAAAAAACTGTAATTGCCACGTGTTTTTTTTTCTTAAAAAAAGTAGCAAAAAGAAAGGGGTCTGTACAGTAATATGCTACGTGTTTTTTTTAAACAAGAAAGGGGTAAATTTAGTTTCGTATTTAAAGAAATGGCTCTATAACTTTGTTTGTAGGGACGTAATACTTGTCTTTGCGAAGTTTTATCCAAAACTATCGAACCATTAGGGCTGTACATCTACGTAAAAATTGGTATTAATTATTAAAAAAATTCGATAATAGATTTTTATATGATACCACATATAGTTTTGATTTACATAGTATACCGCGCACCCCAATTTAACATGTTATTATAATAACAATAAACCTATGCCTATACATTATAGGACTAGTAAGCATAATTAGTACTGTATATTGAGTTAAAAATACTGAAGGATGATCACATTTCGACTTTATGAAAAAAAAAGAAGCCGTTATGACCTCGCGGGTTTTGAACTGACGACCCATGAATGCGCTACGCCATGGTGGCCCGATTTAATAAAATATATTATATCATCCTTTAAAAACAATATACACCTATCGGTACCAAAATTTCGCTGATTACGTGCTGACCAATCAAACTTTTTAACATCGATGTATTTTTTTTCTTTAAGATTTTTTTTATTAAAAAAAATTGACATTAAACCTAAGCTTGGTTTTTTTTTTTTTATTCAAAACTAATTTTTTACATATTTTTAATTACAGTCGCATGCGAATAATACTAGACTAGAGATGCGAACTATAAAAGGTCTTGCAGGCAAATTTGCTTGCAATTTTTGCAATTTTAAAAAAATTTGAAATTTTTTAAATAAAACAAAAAAATAATAATTTAAAAATTTTATATTTTAAAATATATTTTATATCCGTGTACATACACAGTGTACACCAATAAATATAATAAATAAAAATATTTTATAACTAATATATAACTTATATCAGAATTAAACCAATTACTTAAACGTAATTAAACTGGTGTGGCATTGCTTCATTTTGCTTCATTCATGTGTAATAAACGCAAAAAGATCTTATTTTCAATTAATTCTAAACCAAATACAATACGGTAGCAAAAATGAGTTGGTTATTCTATATCTAGTTCATATTATACAAATAGTCCATCCAAGTTTCGCTTAAATTCGAAAACATACAAGTGTATACTGTTCAAATTCAGTTAAAGTAATGTTAAAATTTTCGAAAAGCCATTACCTTCTATCCCTCAATATAACGTTTGATCTCTCTAATATCTTCACAAATCTCTCGAATTTCGTTATCCGAATAATGAAGGGTCAAGCTTTGAAATTTCACGAGAAAACTGTTAAGCAATTTTAACATAGTAAATATTCTTTAAATATATTGCGCATTACCTTGGTACAAGAGTCTTGGCTTCATCTATACTTGTTGGTAACAAATTTAAAAGTAATGGCAATTCAAATTGATGAAGATTGTATTTACTCAAGGTCCTAAAGTTAGGTATTATCAAATGTTATAACATTTGTTGGATAACTTCACAAAGGGGGATGATCTTATTAAAAAAGTACCTCCGAGCATCATTTAATTGTCCATCATCTCGCATTTTGATGAATTGATCAACATACTCCAAAGTTTTACTAAAAACGCTGCGTGTCAAATAAATAAAAATATCTAATAATGTTATAGTTATCAATACGAATTATACGATAAAGGGTAAAATACAAACATTGATTTTGGTGGATTTTGTCTATTCCTAACATTTCTAAGCAGAACATTTGTTTCGGAAATGCTCAAAGCAAATTGAGTTTCCGATATTGAATTGATTCCTTTTTTTGAGCTGTTATATGACTATCAAATCAAAAAAAAAAAAAAAAAATCAACATGAGGTTTTGCCTTTGAAAATGACCTACGGGTGACACAGTAATTACTATGTCCTATAAAGTCATTTTCAAGGCATAAATCCCCCACATATAATATAAAATGTCAAAATAACAACCTTCGTTGAATTTTAGTCTCGATGCATCTTCTTCTTCTAAAGGAATACCTTTGCCGGATTTGCGAGATGTCATTAGTAAATTTGCTTAAGAAAATAGAGAACATTTTAGTTTGACTTAACGTATTATGCTTATAAGCAAAATATAATTGCATCATTATTACAATTTCATTAGCGATAACGAAATTCGATATGCATTATAGCGTATGTAATAATTTAATAGTATTTAAACATTGCGCTTAGAAATTTGTAATTATTAGTTCACAAATGATGCATTTATTTTTTATAAATTCAGAAATTGCAAAATAAATAATTTGAACATATCGCTTATTAACTGCTGGGAATTTCCATTCTAATTAAATTGATGAATTGGATTTTAGATTTATACTACCAATAGTATATTTATCAAAAATCTTAAAAATCTAAAAAATTATTTTTTAAAAAAATTTTATACACAAAAATCTATTAAATGCAATATATAATCTAATAACTTTTTTTTTATAATAATAACAAAATTTTTAATAAAAAAGGTTTAAATTGCTATTTTTATAAATTTTGATATATTACAAGTAGTATACTTTTTTAAAAAGCTTAATAATAAGATTAGTAACAAATTAAACAAACTAAAAAGTTCAATTATATTATTATTTTTAAAACTTATTATAGCTAAAAATCAATATTAGTTGTATTATAAAAAAATATTCTTTGCAATATAATTTCATATAAATTTTGCTATTTATAATAAGAGAATTTCTATTTGTACATGGGTAATGTAAAAACAAACTAATATCTTAAAATTTTGATTATGAAACCACCTTTTGGTTTCTAATAAAAAAAATTCCTCAAGAAATTTTGTTATAAATAACCCTTGCTACAATTCCAAGCCCACCCTTACTCTATATATAATAATTTAATTTGATTGATAAATTATACAAAATTTGTAAATAGGGTGTGGCGCCTTAGAGAAGTGGTCAAGGTGTCACCCCCCAAGCGGCAGGTTGATGGTTCGAATCCTACTGGCGACGTTTTGAAGCTAAATCTGCGTTCAGTGATTGTGGCTTATGAGCGGCTGGGTGCTAAACCTGTAACCTTGGTTCCACCATCTTGAATGGGAGCCTGCGGGCGCAATGATGTATGTACTACATCGCAAAATCCAGAGAACTGGAAAACCCCACAAAAACCCGTTTGGCAAGACCCGAGTTAGGAGGTAGTGATAATCGGTCCTTACAGTATGCGCCAGAGAAGGCGGATACTACGATCGGAACGAACCTAATAAGGGCAGGTAACCTCGGTTACCAAAATCCAGGCAATGGTACATGTATGGGACATGGAAGGTGCTTCAGTAGGCTCTTGTACGAGGGTAAAGTAGCCCTTAGGTTGTCGATACAAAAGGGGTTGTGGCCCTACAATATTTGCTTATATGTAGTGCGTCGGGTAGTAATAGGAGGACCATGAACTAGAGAGTTTAAATAGACAATTCCCGTAGTTGGGTTGTAGGTATGGCAGCTAGTGTAGAACCTCCGGGCGGACTACTTAAATTAGGCACCAAAAGTGTACGTGTGGCTAGTTGTATCTTCATTCATGTAACAAATATTACGTCACTATAACTCAATAAAATCCTGGCCATAGCACACGGCCTCTAAACTTAAAAAAAAAAATAAATAAATACACATTCTTTTAAATAATTTTTTATATCATACTACTTTTCTAAATACATATAACTAATCAAATTTTAGTATTTAAAGTAAATTATATAGTTTTTAGTAGAAGTTATACAAATTTGTTGATCTAATTTTTAAAGCTACAATTTAATTGGCCCTCTTTAAGTGCAATATTTTTTTAAATGCATATTGTAGGCTTGTCTGTACATATTGCATTTATGAAGGCTTGACTATATTAAATTANCGGGCGGACTACTTAAATTAGGCACCAAAAGTGCACGTGTGGCTAGTTGTATCCTTATTCATGTAACAAATATTACGTCACTATAACTCATAATAAATCCACGGCTATAGTACAGGCCTCTAAACTAAAAAAAAAAAAAAACAAATTTTGTAAATCAATAAATTATACTCATGTATAAACACTATGTGTAAATTAATAAATTTTCTTATAATAATTTATATAAGTTTGATTTAAATTTAAAAGTTTTATATAGGTTGTATCATATTATATAGCTATTTTATTTATTTGTGAATTTATAATTTTAAAAATTATAAATATAAGATCTGCAGGTCAATAGCGTAAATAGTTACACTCCCAGGTTCACAATCGCAAGATCACTAGTTCAAGCCCTACTGAGGACAAAAAAAACTATGTGAGGTCATGAGACAGATGAACTAAGCCAGAATTATAATTTAAGGTTTAACTACTTTCTTCTGTGTATACCACTTTTAATTAAGAAACTTTTGGTAAAATTCTAGTCGAAAATTGAATACCTCTAGTTGAATTAGAATACTTTAGTGAAATTTCAGTTGAATTAGAATACTTCTAGTGAAATTCCAGTTGAAAAGTTAAACATTACTAGTTAATCCAGAGTTGTTATTGGACTGGTCCAGTATTCAATTTAGTATTGGACTTGGACTGGACCAAATTTATTGGTCCAATCGAGTCCAATTTAATCCAGTCCAATATAATTTAACTTACTTAGCAAATATATACATTTTATATACAATTATAATAAGAGATAATTTATATATCGCATATATGACATTGTCGCCCCTGTAATGTTAATCAAAATAACCAAAATAAACTAAATAATTTCGTATAGTTAGGGTTAGGGTAAGACCCTGAAGAACTCTGATACAACTTAGATCTAAGTTTGTATAATTTTAGCAGTATTTTAGTCAAATTGATGTATAAAATAGAGCAAAATTTGAAATTTTATTATATAAAAATGCAATGTTTGATAAATTTCTATGCAAATTTCCTTTGTTAGAATTATTTGAGTTGTATCAGAGTTCTTCGGGGTCCTGTTAGGGTTAGGGTTAGGTAGGGTTAGAGTACGGGCGAAAAGAATGATATATAGTAAAATTTTGCAAAAAATTTTTTTTGTTAGGGCAGTGTCATTAATCACCTGATTATTTTTTATCAGAGGCCTACCCCCTCCCTCTTTCTTAATATACAAATAGTCAGGTTCTTATATATAATTTCAACTTTTTTTACCCCCTCCCCCTAAAAAATCACCTGATTTTTGTTACTCTCCTTAGAGCACAAAAGTGGTTTCATATGCAAAATTTTGGGTTATAGGCAATTTTCATCAAAATGAATGTTTGTTTTGAACTTTCTTCTTGTGCTATATTATACCTGATCTTGAATTTTTATTGGTTGATCATGTGAGGGTGACGCATCACAGGAGCAATAAATAAATGTACTCTTATAATAAAATAATATAATGTTTGTTTGTTATATTTAAAAGTACTATCTTTTATATAAATGTAAAAATCAAATTTTTAAAAATAAAAAGTATGCTTTATTTAGTATAGGCTTTGAATTAGCCAATTACAATTCACAAAAGTTATATGTTATTATATTTATTAAATAACTCAAATTTTTTAAATCCAATATCTTCTCAAAACTGATATAAAGTTTGTTTACCAAGTATATTAATTTTGAAAAATTAAATTGTATATATTTTAATAAATAGGGTTCCTCAAATTCAAATTAAATCAAATATTGGATCAATTTGAATTTGATCAAATCAAATTGACCCTAATTTGAGTTTGATTTGATTCAAATATTTGAATTTGAATTTGATTTGAATTTGAATTTTTAATAGTAATTTTCAAATCAAATCAAATATTTGTCAAATCAAATCAAATTTGGCTATATTTGAATTTGATCAAATCAAATATAGTCAAATTTGAATTTGAATTTGATCAAATATTTGATTCAAATATTTGAAGATCAAATCAAATTGCGGAACCCTATTAATAAATAAATCTTTATATTATACTTATATACAACTTTATAATTTATTGTATAACCTTAAGTAGTATAAATTTTATGTATAATTTGATTGGTTAAATATAAATATCATATGACTTAGGGGGCATCCATAAATAACGTTATGTACCCCTCATAGTAGCGCTTGACCCCCTCTACTATATAAAAAAATTTTTCAAAATCTGTATGTTTATATATAAAATTTTACAAAAACTTGAATATATTGTGATACAGTGATCCGATTTGGATGATTTAGGTACCATTCGATTCGTCTCAGTGAGCGAATCCAATAATACCAAAATCATTTTATTTGGATCACTGGATCAGTAGTTATTTACAAAAACTATTGATTTTATAGTTATTTTATAAGAAAACATAATAACTCATAGCATTTGGCCAATAACTTTTGATCCAGTAATCCAAATGAAATGAAATTGGTACCATTCGACTCCTCTTATCGAGACGAATCGAATGGTACCAAAATCATTAAATTTGGACCACTGGTTCAGTTTTTAGACGATTTTTTCTAAAAAAATTGCGTTATATTTTTTTGACCCCTCCTACTTAAGAGAAAAAACGTTATATTTTGTTAGACCTCCTCCCCTTCCTTTTGTATAATGTTATTTCTGGATGCACCCTTATTTTTGGTTCAATAATAGTCTAGTTCAATATAGTTTTTAATAAACTGGACTAGATAAAATTGGGCTAGTCCAGTCCAATAGTTTAGTCTAGTTCAATAACAACTCTGAGTTAATCTGATAGAAATATTAGAATAGTTAAATTATATATAAATCATTAAAAAATATAGGGGTCTTGCATATTAGAAAGGTTCCATTAAATAAGATTTAATAAAAAAAATTGATACTACTAGCATCCTGATGACAACCAAGTCATTAGGTTTAAAAAAAAAATTATAAATATAAATTATATAATAGTTATTTTTTAAACTATATTCCCATAGTCACTCTTTCTGACGATCGCTTGTACCAACTTTTCCACAACTACCAACCTATGACAACTATACAATTATTATACTTATACACAACAAAACTTTACCCTGGAGCAACTGGGAACCAGAGTTCCAGATCAAATGTTGAGATAACTAAAATAGAGTTGAAAAAGAGTTCTCTTTTTGGGTTTGACTCCCCGGTAGAAGACTCTAGTACTATCCCTTAGATTGTAGTAGAACACAGGCAAATTTGCCTGCGTTTTTGCACTTTTTTAGCTCTGATTTACTTTTTTAAAATACTAAAATAATTAAATAAAACTTTGTACAATTATATTTGAAAATAAGGATTACTTTTTTGCATAATTAGTTTTTATATTATAAGAAAATAAATTATAGTTACATATAAGCTGAAAATAGATAATTTTAAGAAAAAATTTTTTTAAAAAATTTTATTACAATTTTTCTGCGATCTTATTTAGTTTTAGTTTTAGAACTATAGTTCTTAAGACAATATTGTAGTTTATATAAAGGATGACAACTTTCATTATTGCAACTTTAATGATTTACTTGTAAAAATTAAGACTTGTATTAGAAGTAAAGATTTTTTTTATAGACGGGAACATATAAAATTTGAAAAAATCTAAAGAAAAATTTTAATAGTAAAAATGCCAATACAAGAACTTTAAACATTTATTATATTAAAGTTTTCTAATGATTTTAAAAAAATTTTATAACAAAGTTACTAAAACAAAACTTAAAGAATATTTTTTACTTAGAAAAGATATGGCTAAAATCAATATTTAAAATTTTATTAAAAATTTTAAAATACGCAGGCAAATTTGCCTGTGTTACAATCTAAGGGATAGAAGACATAGTAGAGCTGAAAACTCTAAAGTTTTGTCAAAAAGAGTGGAAATATTAGTAGAAGCTTACTTTTGGTTGAATATAATATTTTGTATAGCATATACTTTTTCAGTCCTTTACAAGTTGGTACTTTCGGTACTCTCCTTTGGTTTTTTCGAAATTTCACCAAAAAGTGGAAAATCCAGCTTACCCCCTCCAGAAGATCGGTAGTGTTTACTCCTTCCAAATTAGGATTGCGCCTACCTAATTGAAGTCGACGTCACAAGTGCACATTTTGCTACAATGTAAACAGTGAATGACGTGTCAGAGATTGTTCTAGAATATTCGTAGAAATTTCTTTTCTTTTATAAAATTAGACGTAGTTTGTTAGTGTATATTTCTCTGCTATATAGTTTACATATAATACTTTGGTAGAGTTTCTATACAGTATTATATAACTTTTATATTCACACATTTCTTTTATGTGTTTGTTATAGATTAGTTTTTTTTCTTTGTTTTTCTCATCTTTTTTTCTTTTTTTTTGTTGTATTTGGTATTTCGCTTAGGTTTTGTAGTTTCTCCTTTTTTTTTCTCTTCCTTTTTAAATTTCTTGCTTGTACCTTTTTTCTGTTTGTTTTTGAATTGAAGTCACTCCACCATTGAAGCTAGGTGAGAAGAATTTAAAGAAATCAGCAATCTTGACAAGGATAACAGCAGCCAATCAGTGATTACAAAGGAGCACGTGCAGAGAGTTGCATGCCCCTGTAGGAGAAAATTGTTGTTGCAGCAAATCGTACTTAGCGAACATTATGTAGCACAAGTAAGTTTTTATTAGAGAAAGGAGGAATTTCAGTAGTAGCTATAAACTGAAATTTTGTGTACAAAGATATGTAGTCTTCCTAGTTAATAAAAGCAGGATTGTCAAAGCTAAAAAAAAAAAATAAACTATATTCCAATCTAATTTGCCTAAAATTTTTATAAATATTTACAATTTTTTAAATAAATAATTTTTTTGGATTTCAAAATGTCCACGTGGGGTCTAGGATTTATTTAATCTAATTTTGAAGTTCAACAATATGAATAAAATTACAACTAGCCACATGTTTATTTCTAGAAGTTCTATATTAGCTATTGTATCTGCAATTCAACTATAAAAAATGTCTATTTAAACTCTAATTTTTTGTACTACTAACCAAGTTCAATTATTTTACTGGACTACTACTATATATATACAGTTTGTTATAATCTTTTAGAGTTTTTTCTCTATAGCTATTAGAACACTTTTCTTATATACAAAAGCAGTATGCATGTTTTGGCTATCAAAAGCTATTTTTGATTTTGTTCATATTTAAAATATCCAACTATCCAAAATTGTTCAAAGCTTTTTAGGCTTTAATAATTAATAAATTTGTTTAAAAAATTTATAATAATATATTTCATTAGATGCTAAGCACATTTCAGTTAAAATTAAAATAGACTATTTTAATAAAATTTTAAGTAATTTTACTTTATTTAATTGTTTAAAATTGTCTAAAATTGTCCAAACTACTATTTAAAGCTGTTCTGTAACTAAAGTATAGTGCTATAAAATAGCTAGTTATAACAATTATATTTACAATATATATTTTTACACAGTCTTTTTAAAACCTTAATTGTAGTAAATATTACTATATACAAATTACTATATATAATAATTATTATAATATATAGTAATTATTATGATATATAGTAATTATTACAGTATGTAATAATTATTACTACATGTAGAAATTATAATTACAGTACTATATATAGTGACAATTGTGACAGACTATAATGAAATCCAGATTAAAATGAAATGATAATATAAAATCTCGAAAACTAATTTTTTTGGTGTGCATTTTTTAGGTTTAGGGGTTTAGGATTAGAGTTAGTTTTAAACAAATTATAATAAACAAGTATTAATAGGTTTTAGAAGGCTAGCAGGTTAAGTATAGAATGTAAATTTCATTTTAAATTATAATCTGCGACAATAATTAATATACAGTTGTCTTTCTTTAATCTGGTTCTCTATATACTAAACTCTTAATAATCCAAACTAAAACTTTTAAAACAAATATCATATATATATTTCCTCTAGATATATTGAATTAATATAATAAATTTGCTATTCCAAATATAAACACAAATTAATCAGTACATTTAATCTTTTATTTAAATAAATTTATTTTGTAATATAAATAAAATTTATTCTATATAATTAATTAAAACTAGTTTTCTGATCTGGGTTAGATAATAGTGATTCAATGAGGTAGATATTTAATTAAAGTCAATAAAAGGACCCTAGACATCTAGTACAAAGATTTTACATTATATATTTTAGCAAAAACCCCTAAAATTTAAGAAGCAAAAAAGCAGTTTTTGGCAATTATTTTGGTATCCAGCAGTATTTAGCGTTTAATTTAAATGGACTTTTCTTTAAAATAAAGCTCTCAGTAAGTGCATCTAACAAAAAAGTTCATTTAATTCTGATTATTGGATCATAAGATATTTAAGTAAATATATGCTTGTTGTTTTTAGCAAATTAGAGCAAAATTGGCCAAAATCCAGTTATAACCTATAAAGAGATGTTCGGGTTCTTCAATGGGTTATATGGAGTGTCTTCAATTAAAAGGGCCCATTTTTACATATATTTTATTTTGAGATATTTGAGTTTAATTATTTGTTTTGATTTTCGGACTGATCCGGGATCAATCAAATTTCACGATATTGATTGGTTAAAGACGGCAGGTGACTATCGGGTAAACTCGTGACGTATTGGCTCTACGCAGCCTCATGTAATTTTTCTTTTTACATTATCTTGATTTTTTATTATGTAATTCGACTTTCATTTATAATTAAAAAAAGTCAATCATGTCAAAATTTATATGAATTTAACGAAAACTCATTTTTCAAAAAAATGTAAAAATGGGCCCTTTTAATTGAAGACACCCCATATGTGCAATAAATAAAATTGTAATAAATACAAAAATTGGAAAAAATAGTATTAGTTTAGAAAGAGAATTTGTATTCTGTACTTTATTTATACTGAACTAAATTTCTCGAGATAGCCTGTTCAGATTAGAGAAAGATGACTATATAGTAATTATAATCACTATATATATGTTGAAATTATTATTATTGTCCGGAGCGTAGTGGAAGACTTTATATGTTTACATAAGGTGATACAAAAGTTACATTTTTGATGTATCAATAATAGTAATATCAAAAATGTAACTACTGTATTTGGTGTCTATCTGCATGTGTATAATAGTTACCTTTTTGATGCATTATATTGTTTTGATTTGTATCATATCAAAAAATGAAATTAGATCTTAGTTGTTATTGTGCTTCGGACTATAGATGCTAGTGAAATTAAATCATTTCACCAGGTAAAATAGTAAAATAGTTTTACCAGAATTACACCAAAATTTTATTTTGGTGAAATTGGTGAAATTGGTGAATTGGTGATATTGGTAAATTGGTGAATTGTTGAATTGGTGAAATGGTAAATTGAATTGGTAAATTGGTGAATTGGTGAAATGGTGAATTAGTGAATTGGTGAAATAGTGAATTGGTGAAATGGTGAATTGGTGAATTTGCTCAGTCCTATAAATGGTTAATAGTTCTGACCTCAAAGTGTGCCTGTAAAAACTATCTTTTAATAATAAGTGTGCTTGTAGCTCAACAGATAGAGTGCTTGGTTTCGACCCAAGAAGTTGTGGGTGCAAATCCTGCCAAGCACACCATACATAAAATACAAAAACTTGAACAAAACCTAACCGAATTCCAAATTCCAGACTCTGGAAATTCACCATTTCACCATTCTGCTGTTTCACCATTCCACCAATTCACCAATTCACTATTTCACTAATTCACTATTTACTAATTCACCAATTCACCAATTCACCAATTCACTAATTACACCAATTACACCAATTTACCAGTTTCACCATTATCAATTGGTGATTGGTGAAATTTCACCACTCTGATTTAATTTCACCAGTATATATACTTCGAACACCACAATGCTGTGCATTAACCTAGTATATAGTAATTATAATTATTATATATTGTAATAATCACTATATGCAGTTACTAATATTTATTATCAATTTTTTTAATGCAGTTAAAATATTATTTAAAGTAGCTATTTCTAATTTGATATGGCTAAGTTCTATGATGAATACCAACTGAATACCATGTAATATATCAAAATAATTTTGGTACCATTCGATTCATCTTATTGAAATGAATTGAATAATACCAAAATCACTGAATCTGATCATTCAATCATAAGATATCATATTTTAACATTTATTCAAAAATATAGTTCAATTTTGGCACAGTGCCTAATTCAGTATACTAAAGATCTCTAATGATATCTTGTAAACTATTGATCCAAATTATATCATTTTGGTACTATTTGATTTGTCACAATAAGATGAGTCAGATAGTACCAAAATTATGTAATTATGATCAATAGATATTATTATATAACCAAAATAACCTGTATAAAACAAAATTTGAAATTAATATAAAATTATAAATAACTTTTAACAAACTGGTTTATTTTTGATAAGTTTACTACCAAACTAACTGTCTTGAAAAAACAATTCAAATAAGCCCAAAATTATTAAAATCCAATTACAGGATCACAAAATCATTTTTTTATTATTTTTGATGAAAATTAGATTAGTTAAACTTATTATTTTTATTCAAAGTGATACAAAAATCTTAATGATCTTGTGATCTAGTAATTTGATTTTAATAATTTTGGGCTTGTTGGAATTGTCCCTTTAAGTTGAACATTTTGTAGTAAAATTATCAAAAGCTGACCAGTTTATTAAAATTTTATATGATTTTATGCTAATTTTTAAAAATTATATATATATAGGTTATTTTGGTTAAATGATAATATCTTGTGAAATATTAGTTAGAATTATATAATTTTGGTACCATTCGATTCATTGTGATAAGTTGAATCAAATGGTTCTAAAATCACATGATTCTGATTAATAGTTTGTAAGATATTATTAGTGCACTGAATTAAATACTGTACCAAATTAGGCATAATTATCTTATATTGTTGTTATTTAACTAATTGAATTTTAAAATTAGGTATAAATATAAAAATCAAAGCAAACTCTTTTTTTTTGCAAAAAACAGAAATAGCTCTAAATTTTTATTAGGAAACTATCTACTGCATTCTAATTAAAAATGTTCTTTATAAAATTTTACTAATAGCTATAATATAGCTATTATATTTTTCTAACTCTAATCCTAACATATCGGCAGATTGGCATAACATGTCAGCTCGACCAATCATGATTGAGGATTATCAAAAAAATTTTACACGAAAATTTATTACAAAGCGAATTTTTACAAAAACGGTCTTTTTAACCAGCTTTGTATTTATAATTAAGTACGTAGAAAATTATGAAATTCATGTATTTAATTATAAGCCAAAAGTATATTAAAAGGCTATTTTTTTGAAAATTAGCTTCCGAATTTACTCTTGATAGTTACCAACCCATTTCTCAATGCCCAACCCATTCTAAAACACCTGAATATTTCAACAAACGATAAAAGTACTTCTTTCTACAGCTTAGCATAGCTTTTTTATTAAGTTCTATTGGTTTTTTAACTTGTCTAGGCGCCAAAAAGGCTCTTTTGTTAGTTGTAACAAGTACTTCGTTTGTTAGTTTTCAATGTTACTTAGGAGCAAATTTTTGTATAACAGTTTATCGACAATTACGCCAATCTGCTAATATGATTATAACATGGTTTTTTAGCTTTAATTTTATATGTAATTGTTTATTTAGAAAATAATTGATATTGTTTTGAAAAACATTAGAGTCTAGCACTTTATGAAATTGTCTAATTTTTTTAATTTTCTAAATTTTAGATTTAGTATTAGAGTTGGGTTAGAAAAAAATAGATTATATATAGTAAAATTATACTTTTATTTAGTCAACTATTAGTAAATTTATAGTTACAGTATGAAATTTTTTGAAAGATCTTGCAAGCTATAAAATAAATAAAATATTATATGCTACAATATATTTCAAAATATTTTGAAATATCAAATATTTAAAGGATTTTAAAAAATAGTGCACCTGCACTGTAATGCAATCTTACCCAGTATCAGCATAAAAATTTTGCCCCCACGTGATAAGTACCAAAATTCTTTTAAGTTCATTTATGTTAGGTTAGGATTAGGGTGAGTGCCCAGATAGGGTATGGGTTTAGATTATTATATATAGGCAATTAGATTTTAAATTATCTAGATATTAGAACCTTCCTCAATTGACATTAGAGCAAAAGTACTTATTTATTTTCTGGTCATCAGCCCATTGTTTCAAGTATCTTTTTTGATACATGGAAATAATAAAAATAAATTTTGAATTATATTTTTGAATATCCGAAAAATAAATAGGTTTTTTGTCTTAATCAATATTTGTATCTAACTATAGTAAATAACTAATACCATATTATGCTCTTTCTTGATATGTAATTTTCATAATATAAATATATTTAAAATAATAATAATAATAATAACACATTTTTTTATAATAATTGTCATGCACTTTAATTGAGACAAAACCTGTTAAAGCAATGTTTGATTAAACAATTCTCATATAATAGATAAATATAGTACTATGTGTGATCAGTATTCGAAATTTCAGACTCAAACGCTGCTCTCTTGAGAACAGTATAATAGCTATCAGTGTTCTTAACCTATTGTTTATGTTCTCAGTTTATGTTCTCATTTATGCTCACTATTAAAATACAGTATATCATATACTGTAACATATGTACCTTTTACCTATCAGCTATAAAAGCATAAATGGTAGTATCAGACAAATATAAAAATTTGATATAATTTTATTAACACATTTATATGTGAATATACATTAGAGCATATCAGATATCTTTTCATTCATGCTATAGTAATTATATGTAAGTTCAACTAAATAATTTTGATAATAAACTATTATAACTAGTTATAATTATTATTTTACTTTGATATAACAATTATGTAGTTACTAATTACTACTTATAAGAACACTATTTTTAATTTACTGTTCTCAAAAAAATTTTAATAGAGAACAGTAAAAAATTTTTACTGTGCACAAATTTAAAATAGTGTTCTCATGAGAACTTGGAGAACACTAATTTCGAACACTGTGTGTGATGTATATTGTAATATATATCATTTCATTCTAAGTTAAAAAAATTAAAAATAAAACAAAAAAATTAAAAAATAAATAAAAAATCAAAAAACAAAAATAAAAAAATTAAAATTTTTTTTAAAAAAAATACTGTACAAAAATTTTGCTAGCCAATAAAGTTTTTAAAGATTACATAATATAAGTTTGTAAATTTTGAGTTACAAACTTTATATGTAATTTTAAAATTGATTGGCTGGCAAAATCTTTGATTTTTTTTGTTTAATTTTAATCTTAATTTAAACTTTATTTTTTTATTTAACAATTTTTTTTTTTAAATCAATATTTATATAAATTTTTATTATTTTTATTTAAGCAATTTTATATTTTAATAACTTATTTTATTATTGATATATTTAAATATGGATAAATGTTAATCTCGCAACCCTGTGGTGCGATTATATATTGCCGACCAATCAGAATGCGCACACGTAGATCATATTTATTTTTAATAAAAATTTTTTTCTTTTATTTTTAACTATAGTAGTCGCGTCGTTCGTAGGTGCCGATAATTACTGCTACGTCGTTATGGACTGATGCTAGTGTTCAAGTTTTTTTTGGTAAGTAATTAAGTTGTAGTTGTGCTGCTGTATTTCGTTCTTTTATTAAGTCCTGTTCGTTTGTTGTTTAGTCATCGTTGGTACCGTTGAGTAGAAGTCGCATTAGTACTAGTGATTAGGTCGTTGTTGGTAAGCGATTAGGTTATAGCTGGTGCTACTATATTTTTTTTTGTTCTGCTGTTGATTAAACTGATGTTGTTGATTAGTCGTCATTGGAGCCGTCGAGTAGGTCATTGTTGGCACTGATTAGGTGGGCGATTAAGTTGTGGTTGATGTGGCTGCCGTTGGAGCATCGTCATTGGTACAGGCGATTAGATCGATTAGGTCGTTGTTGGCGTGGGTAGTCAGGTCTTGTTGATACGTCGTTGATGTTGTCTGTTTTGT